TATATATATATATATATATGTATACTAACTCGTGAACCCCTAACAAAACTGATTGATAGTTTAGTGATAAAGAAAGGGGTTGTGGATTTGTCTTCCACGCTAGAGTTGTGGATTCGAATCCCACTATCAACAACAAGTTTAAGGAAAAATTTACAATCCCCAAACTCTGCCTCTGACTACACACATACTAGATTCGAATCCCGCTATCAACAAAAAGTTTAAGGAAATTTACAACCGCCAAACTCTGCCTCTGACTACACACATACATCCTGTGTGCATGACCACGTAGGACACATATGTCTACTCATGTCTAACTTTATACAAGTTTAAGTATCTCATTGTGCATATATACTAAAGTTAAAGGTCATAGATGTCAATTAAAGTCAAGTTAAACGAAACGTTTATCTATATATTATATACTTCTCTAGTTGTGCTTCACCTTTATATATTCTCTCTTCTAAACCCTTTTTTCTTTATCCTTTTCCTCTCTATATACTATATCTTCTTTTACACAAAAAATTTCATGGAGAGAACTAAAGATAGAGAAACTCAAGATTTCATGAATGTTGAGTCTTTTTCTCAACTTCCCTTCATGAGGCCAACAAAAGAAAAAGGCGCCATTAGGCTTTTTGGCAAAGAATTACTAGGTACTACTATTCGTCATGAAGATCAATCAAATGACATTCATGATAGTATTGGAGAAACTGCAGATACTAACAACAACAGAAAATTTGAATGTCAATATTGTTGTAGGAACTTCCCAACATCACAAGCCCTAGGAGGACATCAAAACGCGCACAAAAGAGAGCGTCAACATGCTAAAAGAGCTCAATATGCAAAATATCAGTACAACGCTTATTTTAATTCAGCGTTGTACAATACTAGTAGTACAAGTAGTACTACTAGTGGTGGTTTTTATGGAAGTCATGTGAATAATAACGGCCATAGCCATTATTATTCACAACAAATTAATCGCGATATAAATGAAAATCATCGCTCATTTGCAGCGTTATGGAGAGTACCTCATGTTCATCATAGTAGTATTAGTAGTAGTAGTAGTAATTCTTATTCTCCTAATAATGTTTCTAATTTTGTTAGGCCAGTAGTTTATAATAATGTTAATGGAGATTTGAAGAAGATTAACACAAAGAGTAGCTCAATTTCTGTAACCAGATTTGGGTATGAATTGAAGGAAGGAGTACTTCATCAAGATCATGTAAGTTTAGATCTACACTTGTAAAGAGTACAATCCAAGCAATAGTATCCACTCTATTTCAATTTGTTCGTTTTACTTTTTCTTTTTAGTCTGTTTCAATTTGTTCGTCTCCTTTTTTTTTTTTGCACCTCTTTGATTTAGATTAAAGGCATTTTGATACATTATATTATACGCATCTTAGTTTAGGATTATAATAAGATTTCAAAATCTTATTTTAGTTTCTTAAACTTCATGTTAAATTAAACTAAGATAAATAAAGACGTACGAAAAGAATATGTCAAACACATACGTTATACGTACAACACCTTTAACTTGTTCTTAAATTTCTTTTTAGCACTCCAACACAACCTTGTTTCGTTTTAACTCTCTAACTCCACTTCTAATGTACCGTTTGATTAAAAATATTTTATGATAGTACGAGGTATCCATGGATGAGTTTGTACATTGCAATTACTATTTGTTAATTATCTTCAATCAATAAAGTGGAATTCCACCATTAAAGTTTTGGAATAATTCATTTGGGATTAGGTTATATATATGCACTTGGTTTTTAGATAAGAGCTCTGCAACGTTGTGAATTCAAATTTAATCGTTTTCAATATGAGTATCGAAAAAATACTTGCTAGCATAAAAAATTATGTGTATAGAAATTCACATAAATTTTAAGCCATATGATCTCTATTCCAAGTCTCTCTCAGCTTCCATTGTCCTTGGTTTTTATACAGGGTGGATCCAATGTTATGGTATTGGGGTTTATCTGAACACAATACAGTTGACGCTGGAGTTGAGTACGTAGATATGAACTCATGACTTTAAAAATATAAAACGATTCCCTTTTGTCATGTCTCGATTTATATAATGCATTTTTTTTTCTTTAGTTTGTCTTAAAATGAATATTTTATTTCTATATTTAAAAATAGTTCAATTTTAAAATTCTTACTTATCTTTAATGAGACAATTTATAGTCACACAAATATTTCAAATTCGATAAGTATTGGTTAATCGTCTATATATTTCATTATAGTTCTATGATTCAGATAAGTTTCCGCGTTCTATTTAATTTGTATTTGATCTCATTGAATTCCCTTATTCAAAGTTAAGACTGAATCCCTAGCCACGTAGATTAAAGGTGAACACTCATCGTTTACGGTATGAACTATATATGGTGTCTAATCTTGTCCGCTCTCCATACTTTTACACCTCAACATCTGTAGGTTTCTTTCTTAAAGTACTTCAAATCAGTCAAACAATACCACATAAATTGAAACAAAGAATATACTCTACATGGTAATGTTTTCCCTTCCCCATAGAGAACTTTAGAATATAATATATAATCTTGTGTCCTTCAACTCATGTAGGCTATAGTCTAAGAAATTGTTTGCTTCTCTATATTAGGAGAGAAATGGAACACCACTTTAGGCCTGCATTTTTCATAAGAGGTATGAAAAGGGCAACAACAAGGAAGAAGCATAATTGGTTGAGATTTAAGACAACCTAGCTAGCTAGAGCATTGATGAAAGTGAGCCTTACTAGCTAGAGCATTGATGAAAGTGAACCTTATTTGAAGACATTGTACCTACATATTATTATTTTTTTGGTTTCTCATGTGGTGTTCAGTATTTGTATTGGGATCTGACTAAATTATTTGAATTCATCATTTCTGAAGGTGATGCTTCCAACAAGTTTTTTTCCATTCTCAAATGCTCGATCAAATCCGAGATATATGGTTAAAGATGAAGGGATTTCAATCATCCTACACGTGTCGATTGTACCGACATATTGCTTTCAATACAATCAATGCTTGTACATCAAATAATTAATGACACTTCTCTCATGCTTTGGACCAGCTCTTTTAGTGTTCCATTACATTTTAGTCAAATATCAAATTTTCAATATTCTTCTTTCAATTGAACTATAGACAATGGAAAAAGTATTTTATGTTACAACATCTAGACAATAGATTTTTGGTATATTATATATAACATTTAAGTTCAATCTTATTACCATAACCACCACAACTATCCAATGGGTCCACTAGTAAATGCAATATGTTTGGACATTGAAAATTGAAATACATATAAGGACATAGATCTATGTTGAGAAGATAATAAAAAAGGAACAAATGAACAAATAATTTGAAATTTGAATTTAGGACCACACACTGCACCATAGAAGAAAAAATTAAAATGTATAGTGACATGTGTTTTAAACATTATTCTTTTGAGAAAATGATCTTCTTCTCTTTTTAGATTTTTTTCCAACCTCAGACTAATTAATCAAATATTAATTAATACGTAATCGATCGAACACTACTTGAAAACGACTCTTCTGCTCCGAAATGAACTGTTTCAAATAACTTATAGATCATTTAGATCATATTAGTCCAATGTTTGTTTGTAATGTTCAACAATACATGATAAAATATTAGACTCGAGTCTAACATTTTTTCGAAAAAGTAATTTCTCTAGAGCTATATTTGCACAACTTATAAAAATAAGGAAACAATCTAAATGGCCATTCGCACAAATGCCCCATTCAAATTTTTAGTATTTTCATATAATAATATCTCACAAGTTATGTCTTAAAAGGTAAAATGCCCTTGACACCAAAATAACAAACAACTCTTTCGCGACGTAAGTACTTTATATGTTTGTATCATAATATCCCACAAATTATGTCGTAAAAGGCATAACAAGTTATGTCATAAGTATAATTTGTTCTAGATACATTGTATCCAAGTGGACTCATATGTATGTGAGATATCGGGCTGAAAGTTCTGAGGGCAACCCATTCAAAGAGATGAAGCCCAATTAGTGAAAGAGTAATTGGGCTAAACTACTAAAGCCCATATATAATCCGGCCCAACCCATCAAAAGCCCTATATACATTCATCTCTTTCGTTTTGCATTTTAGGGTTTCAGTCGCTTCCTTCCTGCACACACAGTCACACACTGCACACACCGGAGAAAGGCGGAGTAAAATGCCGGCCGGCCATGGATTGAGGTCTCGTACGAGAGATTCATTCTCTCGTGCATTCAGAAAGAAAGGTACAATTCACCTTTCAACCTACCTTAGGATCTTCAAAATCGGTGATTATGTTGATATCAAAGTGAACGGTGCAATTCACAAGGGAATGCCACACAAATTCTATCACGGCCGTACCGGACGTGTCTGGAACATCACCAAACGCGCCGTCGGTGTCGAAGTTAACAAGCAGGTCATCTCTCTTCACATACCTGATAATTTTTAGCTGTGTTTATTTGAAATTGAATGAATGAATCAATGCATTTGCTCTTCAATTGTTGATTTGTAGCTTAAAGTAGGTATTCGTTTGTATGCATTTGTGTTATGATCTCAAACAGATTTGAAATAACAAAGTATTTTTGGGACAATTTTCAATTATATTGTTAACTCAATTGAATTACAAGCTAAGGTGATAACAGAAATAACAGAAAATGAACAATTTATTTTCAGCATATAGGTGAATTTATATGAATGAATTGAACTTCAGCTATTAAGAGCTTTCAGAGCCTTGAAATGAAGAGCATTTCTATTATAAAGTAAAATTCATGAATGGAGCTGTGTAGTAATGTACACTAACTGAAAACCTCGAGCTTTGTTTGTCGAATGCGTACATGGATAGCGAATGCTGAATTGCATTTACAATGGTGAATATAAGGTTTTCTGATTCGTTCATATTGAATAACTATCATTTAATTTCATAAATAGCAATAGAGTTGATGATTTTTTGAAATGGAATAGTAAAAAGTGAAGTTTATGGACTCGTAGAGTAAAAGGTTATCAATGTATAGATCAAATTGTCGAGATATATAGGTATAATTATGTCTCGAAACATGAAAGCTTCATAGTTTCTACTTAACTGGAGCTTTTCAGTATATAACCGAATCATTAAAAGACCTGCAAATGTTTCTCGGTTGAAATGATGAATTTGCATCATCTCTTTTCTGTTATGTAGTTTCGAGTATATCTTTTTGTGGAAGTGTAATGGATTGTGAGAGTTGGTATTGGATATTCGTTATTTGGTTCTCTTACACTAATTCATGCGATTCCTGTCTAACTGGTTTCTTGCTTGTTCTGGATCTCAGGTTCGTGATCGTATCCTAAGGAAGAGGATCCACGTTAGGATTGAACATGTTCAAGCTTCCCGATGCACCGAAGAAGTCAGAGAAAGGATCAAGAAGAACGATCAGATTAAGGCTGAGGCCAAGGCCAGAGGAGAGGTTGTCAGCACAAAAAGACAACCCGCAGGACCCAAACCAGGATTCATGGTAGGAGGCGCTACATTGGAGACCGTTACCCCCATACCATATGACGTGGTTAACGATTTGAAGGGAGGATATTGATTTTACTCTGTTTATGAGCTGGTGATCGTTTACGTTCTTCAATGAAATTGAAAGACAAGATTAGTTTTTTTGGTGTCACCTCAGACTCCGCTTTTTATTTATAAATTTTGGTTACAATATGAATTGAGGTCTTCGTTGAACTTGTTGCTCTTAATGCAAGTGCAGAATTATCTATTACTGCTTGATTCTATGCACACTAATTCATAGAGTTTCCAGTTGAGCTATTATGTTTCCTGTTATTATTTCATAACTTAAAGAATGAAACTTCGTCGATCGACTTACAATTGTGTTAAATATATTGCTCTCAACATTCAAACTTCCAACAGGTAAAATCATTGTGGTATTCATAGCCACATATCACAAATAATCCAGTAGTGGAGTAAGTTCATACCCAAAAATCTCATACTTTTTTGCAATTTTTCGATCTGTTGAAGCAGATTTGATTCAGAGTGCATAACCTTAGTGCTTCTTTTACAATTTGAGTGGCATGGTTGATACTCCAAAAGTATAAGTTGTGTAATGCTTATGTATTAGACTCAGGTCCTGCTGGTTTTGCAGTGAGAAGTGGTTGCAGTGCCTTGACGACTATCGTCATATTTGGTCGAAAATCTGCCTCATATTGAACACACAGTGCTGCAACTGCTGCCATCTGAGAGGAAAATGTACACAAAAGCCATATCAGTTGGAGGAAGATGATGGTTATCGGAGTCTGATTCAATGACACTGTTGCTATCAGGTTAAGACGACTTATATCAACAAGTAACTACGTAGAGTTATAGTTACGTTGTTAGTATAAATAAGTTAAATCCGTGTACAAAATACTACTAGCAAAGATCAGTAAGAAAACCTTAGCAATTGCTTTTGCTGGATAGTCGTTGTTTAGCTTTGGATCGACACATTGCTTCACTTTGTCTTCACTCAATCTTGGAGTTGCCTGCAGAAAATTCGAGTATGAAACAGCTGACGGATGGTATAAATAGGTTCGATGACAAAGATGTAAAGGTAAGAACCTACCCAAGTGACAAGACTCTGTTGTCCTTTGGGCATTGTATGATCTACTGGCTTTCTTCCCGTCAGGAGTTCCAAAAGAACGACTCCAAAACTATAGACATCGCTTTTCTGTGTTATCTGTCCTGTCATCGCATACCTGCACAATAGTATGGTCTTTATATTAGTTATATCTACTTCTTGTCAGTACTAAATTTCCCTTTTGTGTTAACGTTTAGTATATCTATCGGAAACAGCCTCTCTACTTCTGAGGTAGGAGTAAGGTCTGTGTACACTCTACCCTTGATCTTTGTGGGACTACACTGGATATGTTGTGGTTGTTGTTAACGTTTAGTATCAATGAGTTATGTTAGGAAGCTTGGTAAACAGGAAGCCAACTACGAGGAGATAAGCAGGGGATGCAATTGCAAGATAATGCAAACTCAGAATGCAGCAGGGCTTACTCTGGAGCATGGTAGCCAAATGTCCCCAAAACTCTAGTGGAATGCAGACGAGCTGCTGTGTCGGAGGTCTGGTTTGTCAAGTTGAAATCAGCAACCTTTGCTGTAAAATCATCAAAGAGAAGTACATTGCTGGATCTGACATCGCGATGAACAATAGGTGGCTGAATCTTTTCATGTAAGTATTCGAGGCCTTTTGCTGCACCAAAAGCAACTTTAACTCTCTGATTCCAGGTAAGAACTGGACCAGGCTCCGCGCCTTGGACACCTTTTCTACCTACAACAAAAACATCCAACATTAAACTAAAATGCTGCAACACATCTTGCATTCATGATTATTTTCTTAACGGAACGATTTGACATACCATGTAATACATCATGTAGAGATCCCATAGCTGCAAATTCATATATCAAGATTCTATTGTTTGCTTCTAGACAATACCCCATAAGAGTCACAAAATGCTCATGCTTAAGCCTTGAAACCATTGATAACTGCATAGACAAGGAAAAAACAATCAAATTTCATGTAGACTGAACATCCTTCCTCGGAAAATTATACTGTATATATAGCTCAAACGCTACTCTTTATACATATACATCAAACTTTGAACATCTCTTATTGAAATTTCTGGCTTCATCACTTCACCTGTGCTGTAAAGTCGGAATCTGGTTCTGGTGAAGAACTAGTATCCAACTTTTTGATTGCTGCTTCCTGTCCATTGCTCAATTTAGCAAAAAATACGCGTCCATATGATCCCTCTCCGATCAAAGCTTTCTGACCAAAGTTACCGGTCAGTTTATTTAGCTCGTCCAAGGGCAAAACCGGTATTTCGATTGGTAAAACTTTCTGTGGAGTTCCATTTCTAGTACCACCCCTTGGTTCTGCTCTATCACTAACTACAATACCAAAAAAATGAACTTAATATTATTAGAATCCATCATATCCTAATAGTCGACAGATGTATAATATATGTATCATACTGTATATCAGCTCGTTTGTAAATATTTTTGACTGAGCGACCAAATGTGTAACTTCCTTTAACAACAACCTA